GAAAGATAACAGGACAACAAGTGATGTTAAAATTACTTTGTTAGGTTCATAAAATGGTTGCTAATGGTAACAACGCCAGGCATAAAAGTCGTAGATATTTTAGGCCTTTAACACACTCCAATCATCATGACATAATGAGGGTACAATGGACCCAAATGTCGAACAAATTAAGGGACAAAAGAGAAAAAGAATGTCCTTTAATCTACCGTATTTCCTCTGCTTAGTCCCCCGAGGAGAGAAAGAGAGCGCGTGAGGAGACTTAGCATTATCTGTATTACTTCTGGTTGCCTATTAGGGACTGAATAGTAGTATTGTAGCGACCGAATTAACCTTTTTTCGCGGGGGAATCTCATTAACTTGCGGGGGGAATACATAAACGCCGATGATGTCATAACCTTTTGTCTTTCCTCAAGCAACCCACCCTACCCTCCTTACAACAACAATAAGCTTACGAAGCCAAGACTCGGCGAAGACCCCCAACCTCGTTCCCAGGGTTCTCTCCTACCCGCCCCACGGTGCGAGAGAGAGAGAGAGAGAGACCCTGGAAAACGCTGGTCACGTGTCTCCAAGAATCTGGGAGATAACAAACAAATGATTTGGGGGCGGGGCAGGTAAGTGTGAGATTTGTCTCTACAGAGCGTAGACAGGTCAGTGCAGCCATGAAACTGTGTACCTGACCTGATCTTGAACGCCGAAACTAATGCACAAGTCTTTTGACAGCGAAAGCGTAACTTCCTGCAGAATATCTGGATGTTAATCGGATGTTTATCAGCGATGCTTTCATTTGGCACATGCAATCGAAATCGCGGAGGATTCACCGTTTGTGTAGTCAAAAATAATTTAGGTATCCTGGTAGTAGTATTCATACCGAAACGCATTAGAATTTCAATTGCGGTTTCTCTGCTGTGGAGGCTACTTTAGAAAACAAATTTACAGTATCCGTATGTGTTTTCAAGACTACTATTATGCAGGTTATGTTGTCTGTTTTGTCTCTGTTTATACTATTTCCTGTTGTCTTCCATGTCGCGTTGGTATATAATATTTTTATCTTTGATCTATTTATCACTTTTCTATTGCCGCATCATAACAAAGGTTAGGGGGTGGAAAATGCTGACATTTTAGGCTGTAGCTTTCCGTGAAGTCACTAGATCGAAAATATCGCTTTGATCGTAAATGTATTAACTGAATTCCTTGCTGTCAATGTAATTGCCGTGTTTTGTCCCGGGGGTTTGTCACGCCGAACCGCTAAGACCGCAAACGGTGTAGGTTTATTTGGCCGATTACCAACCGCTGTCAGACAAACATTGAAACTTTCAGTACAGAAATTCAATCTACAGGGATTTTACCTTCAAAATATTACCTTGCTTGTGTATAAGTCAAGATCGTAGATTTTTAGCGATTGGTGTCATCGGTTGAACCGGCGACAACGCTGGTGTTTGATTCCTTCTCTGGTAATTCACTTGTTTATCTGATAGTTTTGTTTAGGCCAAAATTTCCCTTAGTTTCAGTTATAGTTGTAGTAGGGTTAGCAAATCTATCTTGCTGTTGCGTCCACTGCGTGAACTTTGCGAATAAACCAGACAAAAAAATGTGAGACAAAGGACTCCTCCCTCAGAATTAATTTTGTTCTGGAGCTACGTGAACAGCGTTTTCACAGGGTCTCTCTCTCTCTCTGGGTCTCTCTCTCGCTCCGTAGGGCGGGTAGGAGATAACCCTGGGAAGGAGGTTGCGAAGACCCCCTGCATTGAAGAAAGTGAAACTGCTGTCCTGGTCTTCTTGCTGATGGAATATTGGAGCCCTAAACAGGGTAGGGTGGGTTACGGTCGCCAAAATTTATATAGAATAACAGTGTTCGATTCCAAATAAATAAAAAAAGAAACTAAATTAAGTGGCATAAGCGAACCCCGAAGTGTTAGCTCCGAAATCTATCGCCTGTACCACTACACCACGGAGGATTCAACTATTGTATCAAAACTTTATTTTGTTTCACATATTTTTAGTGGCAAACCTAACAGTAAATGTTTGCTAACAATGCTTAACCCTAATCACGATAGTCAATGCGCTTACTCCTATATTAGGAAATATTTGGTGTTAACACAAGGTGTCCAATGTGGTTCTGGACAATGGAATCTAATGTTGACCATAAATAACACATTTTCACGAAGACAGAGATATCGCATCTACCTCCGACTTTTGCAATGATCATTAACGTCCCCCGCGTCCCCGTCCCACACGTCCCCACGTCCCATACTTGATGTCTCCAAGTCCCAAGTCCCCACACACGCTTCTTAATGTCCCCGTCCCAGCTTTATACACAGCCTGACTACAAAGACGATTACACAATCATCGGGCCTCGCCCCCCAAGCTGTTGCGCATGTACATTAGCAACGCAATACGAAGTAACGCATTTGTAACACATAGTGAGGGTCTGGATGGGGGCTACAAATGCCAGTTGTCAGTTAAAATTTTGGCCATTTGTCAGTTGTCAGTTAAATTTAAGGCTATTTTTCAGTTGTCAGTTAATTGGCTGTTAATAATTAATTAAGTAATTTAGTTATTTCTTTTTTATTCAAAATTTAGCTCAAAAGGCACATTAAATGTAAATTGTATCACTAATTCAAAAATTGCTACACTAATAACCTTTTTTTTTCAAATTTGGAGTTGAATTCATTACAAGCGGCTTTCTATCGTTACTCTCCTGCTTGCCCGAGCATAACATTCCTCTCTAACCCTTAGACCCTTAGCTCATCAAAATTCACCTTCAAAATATTTGAAGTATATCGTGAGAAAGACAAACAAATATCGGAAGAGTTCTTTCTTTTTTTGTTCGTTTGATTTGATTGGGTATTGTTTGTCAATGGCTCAATTGTGATTGGCTGGGATGAAGTGATCAGGGAATATTGCACTTGCCCAAACAGGCGCGTTGGGAAGAGAGTAACAAACAAAATATGTTTTCTCCTGTAAAACATGAAACATATCTACTATAAGCATACTTTACAAATCAAGTCGAAAATGGGCACGTATTGGCCGCCCAGATCTTGAAATGGTAACAGGCGATATATCTTCGTCCTTCCTATCAGAAAAGTCATCTCCTGAGTCGGGTTCATATTCATCTGGCGGGGGTCGCGCTTCAGCAACTGCCACTGCAACTAGACAGTCGTCCACAAATGTGACTTGTGGCGCATCTCGACCTTCAGATGTAGCATGAACGAATAGGTCTTCTTCTTTTTCTTCTTCATCCATGGTAAAATCTATTAGCTGATGTACTGCGTGTTTTAATGTATGAATTTACATACGATCAACCGACACCACTAAAATCTGACAGGGGCACCCAACGAGAATATAGTTCAAAAGCACTTAAACATAGCATTGTTGAACGTATTTTAGTATTTAAACGGTAGATAAAGGCTTATTTTTATCCCCTAAAAACTTTTCATCTGTTCGGATTTCCTAGCTGAAAGTCTAGTGATCCGAAAATTATAGGGATCAAAACTTACCTTTTCGAAAATTTCAACCAGAAAAAAGGCTCCCGAAAATTCTAGGTGACCTTTTAAGTGGTAAAAATCCGTTAAAAATGGGCAATTATAGCAGTTTTTAGACGTTCGAGAATCCTAGGAGAAGCAGGCAAGCAAAAAATTTTACAACAAATGTTCCGAAAATTAGATCTCAAATCGTCTTCCGAACAGATATTTTCCGAAAATTGTCGTTGGGTGCCCCTGATCTGACGTGTAACGATCCCTCCAGGAAAGGTGTCAAGAAGCAAGCACACGCGGTGGTTCGCACCGCTGCCGCAAAGCTACAAAATGTTGTCATAAATTAGGCCACCGTAATTATAACGTAAATAATTTCAAGAAAAATAAATGTTACATAGTGCATTACGTGAAAACAAGAGCGAAAATATTCTGAAAGCGTAGCAGTACCCAGAAGGTTTTCCGGACTAACTTGCATGCTTATATTTACACCACTACATGAAACAAATACACAAGCACTAAGAATACATACTGTTCTTTTCGCTTCCTGAGTCATCCAGCATACTTGGAAGCTCCAGCTTCCACTGGTCGTCCCTTGTGATGGCAAAGTTATCACTTTTCCCGCGGTTTCGGTACCATCCGATAAAGCTTTATATCGAAATCTCCAAGGCCGTCTTTAATTGTTAGTTCCTTCAGACCAAAGAATTGAATAAGGGGCTTTTTGAGAGCATGTACTGTATTTAAGTCATTTATTGGAATACGAGGAAGATTTCTTAAAAAAATGGCATTGCACTTTTCAAGATTTTTGAAAGACAGGGGTATAATTTATTCCAGATACCAACTCCGACAGCTGTTTAACAGAAAAGTTGCTTACTTTTTTAGCCAGGCCGAAGAGGTAAAGAAAACCATGGACAGCCCGACAATGTAACTTTCAAAAAGGATTGTCCATGTTGCTGGGGCAATCATCACCTTGCCATGGGAACTAAAGCTTTCAATCATGGTAATTTTAAAACAGCGCGAGATTACTTCGAATTGGCATTGAAGGAAGCAAAAGAGAGCGGAAACAAAGCCTTTGAAGAAAGTGTATATAAAAACCTTGGCCGTGCCTATTGGTCTCTCGGTGAATCCACGAAAGCAATCGAGTTTTATCACCTAAGCCTAACTATCGCAAAGGAGACTGGAGACAAAAGTTTGGAAGGAACTGTATATAAAAACCTTGGCAGTGCCTATGACTCTCTCGGTGAGTACAGGAAAGCAATCGAGTTTTTTCAATTGAGCCTAACTATCGCAATGGAGACTGGAGACAAAAGGTTGAAAGGAAGTGTATATAGCAACCTTGGCAGTGCCTATGACTCTCTCGGTGAGTACAGGAAAGCAATCGAGTTTTTTCAATTGAGCCTAACTATCGCAATGGAGACTGCAGACAAAAGGTTGAAAGGAAGTGTATATAGCAACCTTGGCAGTGCCTATGACTCTCTCGGTGAGTACAGGAAAGCAATCGAGTTTTTTCAATTGAGCCTAACTATCGCAATGGAGACTGGAGACAAAAGGTTGAAAGGAAGTGTATATAGCAACCTTGGCAGTGCCTATGACTCTCTCGGTGAGTACAGGAAAGCAATCGAGTTTTTTCAATTGAGCCTAACTATCGCAATGGAGACTGGAGACAAAAGGTTGAAAGGAAGTGTATATAGCAACCTTGGCAGTGCCTATGACTCTCTCGGTGAGTACAGGAAAGCAATCGAGTTTTTTCAATTGAGCCTAACTATCGCAATGGAGACTGGAGACAAAAGGTTGAAAGGAAGTGTATATAGCAACCTTGGCAGTGCCTATGACTCTCTCGGTGAGTACAGGAAAGCAATCGAGTTTTTTCAATTGAGCCTAACTATCGCAATGGAGACTGGAGACAAAAGGTTGAAAGGAAGTGTATATAGCAACCTTGGCAGTGCCTATGACTCTCTCGGTGAGTACAGGAAAGCAATCGAGTTTTTTCAATTGAGCCTAACTATCGCAATGGAGACTGGAGACAAAAGGTTGAAAGGAAGTGTATATAGCAACCTTGGCAGTGCCTATGACTCTCTCGGTGAGTACAGGAAAGCAATCGAGTTTTTTCAATTGAGCCTAACTATCGCAATGGAGACTGGAGACAAAAGGTTGAAAGGAAGTGTATATAGCAACCTTGGCAGTGCCTATGACTCTCTCGGTGAGTACAGGAAAGCAATCGAGTTTTTTCAATTGAGCCTAACTATCGCAATGGAGACTGGAGACAAAAGGTTGAAAGGAAGTGTATATAGCAACCTTGGCAGTGCCTATGACTCTCTCGGTGAGTACAGGAAAGCAATCGAGTTTTTTCAATTGAGCCTAACTATCGCAATGGAGACTGGAGACAAAAGGTTGAAAGGAAGTGTATATAGCAACCTTGGCAGTGCCTATGACTCTCTCGGTGAGTCCAGGAAAGCAATCGAGTTTTTTCAATTGAGCCTAACTATCGCAATGGAGACTGGAGACAAAAGGTTGAAAGGAAGTGTATATAGCAACCTTGGCATTGCCTATAACTCTCTCGGTGAGTACAGGAAAGCAATGGAGTTCTATCAGCTGAGTCTAAATATTGCAACAGAGACTGGAAACAGACTTTTGGAAGGAGCCGCATATAACAGCCTTGGCATGTTTTATGGCTCTCTCTGTGATTTCAGGAAAGCAATCGAGTTTCTTCAGCGGAGCCTAACTATCGCAGCGAAGACTGGAACCAAAAAGTCGGAAGGAACTGTATATTTCAACCTTGGCAGGGCCTATAACTCTCTCGGTGAGTCCAGGAAAGCAATTGAGTTTTGTCAGCTGAGTTTAACTATCGCAAAGGAGACTGGGGACAACCATTCCGAAGCAATAGGATATGGCGAACTCGCTTATTGTTTTTGTTGTCTTAAAGACTTTCTTGGAGCTGAGGAGTATTACAGATCTTCAGTAAGAATGTTAGAGGAAACTAGGGTCCTCCTTCAAGGGAAAGACGAGTGGAAAATCAACTTTCGGGATAAACATGATAGTATTTATACTAATTTAAGGCGTCTTCAGTTACGACAAGGCAAGAGCCTTGAAGCGCTCTCTACAGCTGAGGCAGGACGAGCACAAGCTCTCATGGATCTCATGAAATCGCGATATGACGTCAGTAAATCAATTTGGTCGTCGTCAGAACAGGACAGGGAACTGATAATGTCCAATTCAAGCCTTAGTTCGTCACCTACGCTTTTTCTAGCAGAAGAAGAAAAACATGACTTTAAAACATCATTGAGTTTCTGGTTAATTCTAAATGGACAGCAGTGTCAGATGATGCAAAAGGAAATAAATGGTAACCTGACATCATTGATTTACCAAACATACGAAAATATTGGTGTAAGGACTGGTGTGAGGTGCAAGCCCTTGATATCAGAGCAAGACGACGAGAGTGCTACTTTGAAAACATTGTATGACCTGGTTATCGCTCCATTTTCAGACCTGATAAACGGTGATGAACTCATTATTATCCCTGATCGTGCATCATTCTTGATTCCTTATGCTGCCCTCATGGACCAACGATCCAGGTATTTGTCTGAAACGCTGAGAATTCGATTGGCTCCATCATTAACAAGCTTGCAGCTGCTAGCAGAGTGTACGGAAGGCCACCATAGTACTTCTGGTGCACTGCTTGTTGGTAATCCGTGGGTGGAAACTGTACGTATCAAAGACAACAAACCGTTCCCGCAGCTCCCGGGTGCTGAGAAAGAAGCACAAATGATTGGACAGATTCTTAACACCGAGCCCCTCATTGGGAAAAACGCTACAAAACACCAAGTTTTGAGCAGGCTTAATTCAGTTTCTTTGGTGCACCTTGCAGCTCATGGTTGTCGAGAGACGGGAGAAATTATTTTGTCTCCTAATGTTGCTGATACTGAAAGACCGAAAGAGGAAGACTTCCTTTTGACAAAGGCAGATGTTTTGGGTGTACAATTGCGAGCCAAGCTTGTTGTTTTAAGCTGCTGTTACAGTGGACGCGGAGAGATCAAAGCCGAAGGCGTGGTTGGAATTGCACGTGCCTTTTTAGGAGCCGGGGCACGTTCTGTTATCGCGTCACTGTGGGCGCTGAGCGACGAAGCCACTCTGGAGTTTATGAAACACTTTTATGAACATTTGGTAGAAGGGAAAAGTGCAAGTAAGTCGCTTCATCAGGCCATGAAATGGATGCGAGAGTCTGACAAGTTCAATGCGGTGCAGTACTGGGCGCCATTCGTGCTGATTGGCGATGACGTGACATTGAATTTTGAGCCAATCAAAGGTGGGAACCACATTAAAGCTTAAGCAGAAATATGATCACGTGTCAAGGTATCCAAAAGGAAAAATCTGGGTTTCAGCCTTGGTCCCTTAGATTTCTTGATTCTAATTGTTGAATTGAAGAGAAAGCAATTTTTCACTGTGCAAAAAGCAAACGACTGAAATAAAAACAATAACATTCAATCCCCAGAAGATGGACAAAAAACACGTTGCACAGGATAAATAAGAATCATACTCGTTTGAATTGTCTGACACACAGTTCGTCCGTTTTTATCTACCGGCTAATACTAAATAAAAGTAAGAATAAATATTTACTAAACTAAGCAACTATCACTGAAAGTAACTATCTAATTAACCATCTAACTAAATAACCAAATAAATAAATATATCCACAGTTTTTAACGGCAATTGGCCGTGGCTCGAAGGTTAACATCTCAAAACAAATTGCTTTTTTTGTTTTTCTTTTAATGTGCAATTTAAGTACTCCTACAGTTTAATTTTAAGAATGAATTGACCGATGCGTCGAAGTATTCGGGTCTTTGGCGGTTGCTTCCTGAAACCCTTACCCTGTTTCAGAAAATAGCTTGAGATTTTCTCTTCAAATTCAGACCTGAACAGCGGTTCTCAAGAGACGAAAGACTGAAGGAACTTGCCAAGACCCTGGTGCCTGGAATCTCTTTACGAGCCTGCTGCATTACGCTGCTAACTGTTACGGTTCTCACCGGCAGTAATTGGATTGAAACTATTGGACTATTTTAGAGTAAAATAAATGGTTCAACAACGCGAAAGGAATACAATAAGACGGCAGAATGTGTCATTCTCAGATTCCGTCTTTAACAAAATAAAATTTTAGAAACGTTTACTAAAATAGAAAAGGTGCTATTAGCATTCTTTCGTACTAAATTAGCTACAAGTTTGTTTCCTATAGAAGAAATGATTTTATGACATTGAATTTTTAACAGAAATTTACTAGTTGGGAGCTAGTGCGATGCGAAACGAATGTACACTTCGTGAGGTGTATCCTACGTAACAGGCGTTTGGAAGAAATATGGGTGCAAAGAACGAAGCGTACGAGGAGGACGCGAGTGTCTTCGTCGCGTGCCCTGTTTCTCTTGCAATCATAACTTCTAAGCACCTGCTACGAAGGCTAAGTGAAGTGAAAGATTTCCGGGCGACCGCTGGCTAGCCTGTGATACCGTCGTGTCTCCTCGCTCCTTGCCGTTAGCTAGAGACGTCACGAAGGTAACTTAGTTTCGAGGATTGCTTACAACTGAATCTTTTACACATAGAGTACAGTATAAATCCGCAAGTAAAAATCTGGTTTTTAAGAACTGGCCTGAATTTCAGACTATTACTTCGAGTCGTTTTTACTCCCTCAGTAACTGTTAGGCTAAAATTTGCGAGTTAGGCACCCTCTACAGTATACAAGAACCAGTTTAGTCTAAAATTTGAATTTTCTAAAGTCCATGAAAAATTCTGTACACTTGGTCAAATAAGATAAGTCAACATTCAGGTTTCTCTCTGGAGACAGAGGTTTACTATCACTGCAACTGCAGTGTAATGGAATGCAGATGTTATATAAGAAATAAGCTGAATACCACCAAATACTATTAGATTTTCTGTAATTTTTTCTTCAAAAAATAAGAACTAAAGCGGCCTAAATTTGTGCTAATTACTATTTTAGTAAGAACCTGTTTAGGCTAACTTGGTAAAATTCAGGTTCTTACTCGCGTGTTTTTACTATTAATAATATAACTAATGTTATCTAAGTTTTTGCCCTACTAGCACCTCGGATTCGCTGGCAAAGATAGCTATATCATAAAAAAATAATTCATGTGACTGAATTACACTAACTTGACAGTCAACCGTCGTTAAAATGCGCACCCTCGGGCCCGCGAGTTAGCGTCCTAGATAGAGAGTCTAGGACTCTGGAAAAATATTTTCTAAAAAAAACAATTGTGTATTAGATTAGAGAAGGAATATAATTTAACATTTGAAACAATTTTGATTGATGTGCAACATTAGGAATAAAGTGAATAAATCCAATTAAAGGGACAAACGTGATGATAACATGAGAATGGAATATTTTCCAATGGGTCTGAATTTCGATGACAGTTTAAAAGTCCGTTATGTTATAACAAGAGGTATAGAAAAATAAAATTGCGCCGCCGGGACAGTTGTAATATTGTTTAGGGGCTTTCCTCGTAAAGCTCTGGGCCGGGTTGTTCAAAGCTGGGTTAAGATAACCCAGGTTTGTATAGGTAATAGCATGATTTATCGTGATATTTGGCATAAATACCACGAGTGATATTTCAAAGTTGTTATACGTAATTTCACGAGCCGTTAGGAGAGTGAAATTTGAGAAAATTTTGAAATATCACGAGTGGTATTTATGCCATTATACTACTACATGAGAAATTTCTGCAATCTGATTGGCCTAGAGCAGTGGTATTTCAGCTTAATTTGAAATACCTACATGTGAAAATTACAAACCTTTTGAGGGTAGTAGTATAAACAAATAATAGCATGATTTGTACGTGATATTTGGTATAAATACCACTCGTGATATTTCAAAATTGTCTTAAATTTCACTCGCCTAAAGGCTCGTGAAATTACGTATAACAATTTCGAAATATCACTCGTGGCATTTATGCCAAATATCACTACAAATCATGCTATTACCTATACCAATATCACGTTCAAATCATGCTATTATTTGTTTTTACTACTACCCACAAAAGGTTCGTAATTTTCACATGTAGGTATTTCAAATTAAGCTGAAATACCACTGCTCTGAGCCAATCAAAATGCACAAATTTCTAATGTAGTAGTATAAAGTGCGAAATTTTGAATTCAGATATGAAAGCTTTACAAGCAACATCCAGTTTAATTCTTTTTATCTACAATTTGATAATTGGATGCTCTAAAAAGAGTAGAGAAAATTATCCGAAGCAGATGTTTTGGGTGTACAATTGCGAGCCAAGCTTGTTGTTTTAAGCTGCTGTTACAGTGGACGCGGAGAGATCAAAGCCGAAGGCGTGGTTGGAATTGCACGTGCCTTTTTAGGAGCCGGGGCACGTTCTGTTATCGCGTCACTGTGGGCGCTGAGCGACGAAGCCACTCTGGAGTTTATGAAACACTTTTATGAACATTTGGTAGAAGGGAAAAGTGCAAGTAAGTCGCTTCATCAGGCCATGAAATGGATGCGAGAGTCTGACAAGTTCAATGCGGTGCAGTACTGGGCGCCATTCGTGCTGATTGGCGATGACGTGACATTGAATTTTGAGCCAATCAAAGGTGGGAACCACATTAAAGCTTAAGCAGAAATATGATCACGTGTCAAGGTATCCAAAAGGAAAAATCTGGGTTTCAGCCTTGGTCCCTTAGATTTCTTGATTCTAATTGTTGAATTGAAGAGAAAGCAATTTTTCACTGTGCAAAAAGCAAACGACTGAAATAAAAACAATAACATTCAATCCCCAGAAGATGGACAAAAAACACGTTGCACAGGATAAATAAGAATCATACTCGTTTGAATTGTCTGACACACAGTTCGTCCGTTTTTATCTACCGGCTAATACTAAATAAAAGTAAGAATAAATATTTACTAAACTAAGCAACTATCACTGAAAGTAACTATCTAATTAACCATCTAACTAAATAACCAAATAAATAAATATATCCACAGTTTTTAACGGCAATTGGCCGTGGCTCGAAGGTTAACATCTCAAAACAAATTGCTTTTTTTGTTTTTCTTTTAATGTGCAATTTAAGTACTCCTACAGTTTAATTTTAAGAATGAATTGACCGATGCGTCGAAGTATTCGGGTCTTTGGCGGTTGCTTCCTGAAACCCTTACCCTGTTTCAGAAAATAGCTTGAGATTTTCTCTTCAAATTCAGACCTGAACAGCGGTTCTCAAGAGACGAAAGACTGAAGGAACTTGCCAAGACCCTGGTGCCTGGAATCTCTTTACGAGCCTGCTGCATTACGCTGCTAACTGTTACGGTTCTCACCGGCAGTAATTGGATTGAAACTATTGGACTATTTTAGAGTAAAATAAATGGTTCAACAACGCGAAAGGAATACAATAAGACGGCAGAATGTGTCATTCTCAGATTCCGTCTTTAACAAAATAAAATTTTAGAAACGTTTACTAAAATAGAAAAGGTGCTATTAGCATTCTTTCGTACTAAATTAGCTACAAGTTTGTTTCCTATAGAAGAAATGATTTTATGACATTGAATTTTTAACAGAAATTTACTAGTTGGGAGCTAGTGCGATGCGAAACGAATGTACACTTCGTGAGGTGTATCCTACGTAACAGGCGTTTGGAAGAAATATGGGTGCAAAGAACGAAGCGTACGAGGAGGACGCGAGTGTCTTCGTCGCGTGCCCTGTTTCTCTTGCAATCATAACTTCTAAGCACCTGCTACGAAGGCTAAGTGAAGTGAAAGATTTCCGGGCGACCGCTGGCTAGCCTGTGATACCGTCGTGTCTCCTCGCTCCTTGCCGTTAGCTAGAGACGTCACGAAGGTAACTTAGTTTCGAGGATTGCTTACAACTGAATCTTTTACACATAGAGTACAGTATAAATCCGCAAGTAAAAATCTGGTTTTTAAGAACTGGCCTGAATTTCAGACTATTACTTCGAGTCGTTTTTACTCCCTCAGTAACTGTTAGGCTAAAATTTGCGAGTTAGGCACCCTCTACAGTATACAAGAACCAGTTTAGTCTAAAATTTGAATTTTCTAAAGTCCATGAAAAATTCTGTACACTTGGTCAAATAAGATAAGTCAACATTCAGGTTTCTCTCTGGAGACAGAGGTTTACTATCACTGCAACTGCAGTGTAATGGAATGCAGATGTTATATAAGAAATAAGCTGAATACCACCAAATACTATTAGATTTTCTGTAATTTTTTCTTCAAAAAATAAGAACTAAAGCGGCCTAAATTTGTGCTAATTACTATTTTAGTAAGAACCTGTTTAGGCTAACTTGGTAAAATTCAGGTTCTTACTCGCGTGTTTTTACTATTAATAATATAACTAATGTTATCTAAGTTTTTGCCCTACTAGCACCTCGGATTCGCTGGCAAAGATAGCTATATCATAAAAAAATAATTCATGTGACTGAATTACACTAACTTGACAGTCAACCGTCGTTAAAATGCGCACCCTCGGGCCCGCGAGTTAGCGTCCTAGATAGAGAGTCTAGGACTCTGGAAAAATATTTTCTAAAAAAAACAATTGTGTATTAGATTAGAGAAGGAATATAATTTAACATTTGAAACAATTTTGATTGATGTGCAACATTAGGAATAAAGTGAATAAATCCAATTAAAGGGACAAACGTGATGATAACATGAGAATGGAATATTTTCCAATGGGTCTGAATTTCGATGACAGTTTAAAAGTCCGTTATGTTATAACAAGAGGTATAGAAAAATAAAATTGCGCCGCCGGGACAGTTGTAATATTGTTTAGGGGCTTTCCTCGTAAAGCTCTGGGCCGGGTTGTTCAAAGCTGGGTTAAGATAACCCAGGTTTGTATAGGTAATAGCATGATTTATCGTGATATTTGGCATAAATACCACGAGTGATATTTCAAAGTTGTTATACGTAATTTCACGAGCCGTTAGGAGAGTGAAATTTGAGAAAATTTTGAAATATCACGAGTGGTATTTATGCCATTATACTACTACATGAGAAATTTCTGCAATCTGATTGGCCTAGAGCAGTGGTATTTCAGCTTAATTTGAAATACCTACATGTGAAAATTACAAACCTTTTGAGGGTAGTAGTATAAACAAATAATAGCATGATTTGTACGTGATATTTGGTATAAATACCACTCGTGATATTTCAAAATTGTCTTAAATTTCACTCGCCTAAAGGCTCGTGAAATTACGTATAACAATTTCGAAATATCACTCGTGGCATTTATGCCAAATATCACTACAAATCATGCTATTACCTATACCAATATCACGTTCAAATCATGCTATTATTTGTTTTTACTACTACCCACAAAAGGTTCGTAATTTTCACATGTAGGTATTTCAAATTAAGCTGAAATACCACTGCTCTGAGCCAATCAAAATGCACAAATTTCTAATGTAGTAGTATAAAGTGCGAAATTTTGAATTCAGATATGAAAGCTTTACAAGCAACATCCAGTTTAATTCTTTTTATCTACAATTTGATAATTGGATGCTCTAAAAAGAGTAGAGAAAATTATCCGATAAAATTCTTTTGATCAAAAGAATAAGAAACCCGAAGTGAACTTTAACCCCTACTACGTTAACGGCCTTCGAACAACTTCACCGGCGAAAATTGTCTGATTGGTCGACGCGCGACCACGTGACATTGCCAAATTCAAAATGGCGGCAATACATCCATCGTTTGTTTATTCCAGTGGGAAGAAGTGAAATTGCGGCTTAATATGAGTTGCAAATGCATATACGGATATTTTTAGAATAGCCTAGACTTTTTATTATCCTTTTTCACCTATTCCTATGGGATTCGTTCCCTGCGATGCTCGCGTTTTGGCCGGTTTACCGGATTCAACTTTGCACTCTTCACGATCACGAAGGACAACAATATTTTTGATGAAAGCC